GCCCGACACTTTCAGCACGCAGTCTTAGCACGGAGCTTCACCCATGAAAGCTTCGGGCGCCAGGATCAAGTCTTCAAAAGCAAAACCATAGCGGAACCATAGACCTAAACACCAAACTCCAAACCCGAAGCCCTTAAACCTTAAACCCTTTCTACATCAGGCTTGCATGTCGCGCCTGGCTATGTTGAACCCTAAGCCCTAAACCCGAAAAACCATGAGAAGAGCGCACCCGATGGCTTGAGCATCGCGGAAGAGCTTCCGCCTCTCCTGGCAACTCTTTAAGTAATGCCCGGTTACCTTTGTTGGAGATGCTTGTGGATTCTTAGGGTGCGCCTCTCAAGCTCCTCCCATGCAGATTCAGAAGTTTAAGAGATTCGAAACTGGTGTTGCGCTGCAACAGATTAGGGGGCTTCCAAAAATAGGGGACCCTAATAGAGCACCCTTAATAGTAGTATCCTTATTTTAAGGACCCCAAAATAAGGTACCCCTAATTTTCGGAAACTCCCATTAAAGTGTAGGGTTTTAGGTGTTTAGGGATGTGTGGGATGCCGTCAGGCCAAAACTGAAACAGGAGCGCCAGGTTCAATAACCCCTTTAGAATCAGAGCACCCTATTGCCGAGAGGAGACCACAAAATCAAAACGGTATGCTGATCGTGCTGTATGGAGATATCATAAATGGGTATAGAGTAAGGTGTTCGCTGTACGAACGTTTTGAGTCTTCGGGCTTATGGTTCTGGGCATGGAGTCTTGGCTGTCAAAAGGTGCCCATGATGCTTGGCGTGTCTGTGCAACATTGAAAAAGCAAACAGCGCTCATCCCACCTGGGCTACCGGGCTCTTTGCACTCGGCTGGCCGCTTTCATGCACACCAAGGGAGCTTTAGTTTGATTAGTTAGCAGTGTAAAATGCGCCCTAAACCCAGCACAGAAACGGTGCAGCGAGCCTTTTCTCTTCCATGTCTCGCCACATCAAGCCCAAGTTTGGGGTGCGAGCATAACCACAGGCCCGAAGACGACGAAGCTAGAGCCCATTCTGGGCTGGCATACGCCGTCGGGTTATGTATGGATTTTGGGCTTATGGACTTCAACCACAAGCATTATTTCGAGGGGGCGTGTGGACATCGATCGCGAACGATCCGCTGCATCTTGTACGTCCCCAGGAAACCGCAGAGAGTCACCAGAAGTTGTAGGGAACCGTAAGCATTGCGTCCAAGAGAATCAATGATGCCGCGTGCAATGGGAGCACCAATAACTCGACCAAGTTGCATGGCCATCATCTTCCACTGCCTGAGTCCACTCCAAAGCAGACAATGAAAACTAGTCGCACAACAGGCCCAGCACATGTGCCGTTTTCTCAGCATCTGTTTGCCGTGACTTCTCCCGTCTACAAGTTTCTGCTGGCAAGTTATCCATGGTCTATCTGTGTTGTGGCCAGTAAGGGTTCGGTATGTATGTAGTCTTCAGGAATGTACAGCTTTACAGGGGAGGTTAGGTCGTGCTCTGGGGAGTGTTGGCTTTATATGGGAAAAACCCTAAACCCTAAAACCTAAACCCTAGCGGGGGTAGTGGCTTTTGAGATTCGATGCTCAGCTATAAATTCGGGGTCCATATTTCATTATCTATATTCTATTACCATGTAGTATACACTACTGTTTATTATGATATACTATATTCTATTGGGGTCCATATTCGGTAATATTGAGCTCGGTTATCAGGAATCCACAAGTAAACCCCTGAGTGGCAAGAGTACTACGCAGCGTTTCAAGCCGACTTAACAGCCCAGGGAGCCTAGTCAGTAGTTCAGACTTGGTGCGAAAAGTCCCCTGAACTGGTCCTATCCTATATAGTCTTACGCCCCCTGTTCAGAAAGCTACCACTTGCCACGTCCCCTAAGCATCCGAGCAATCACCGAAGTCCCTGCGGCGATTCACAGAAAGCAGACTGTAAGGGATTCGGCAAGTACATGGGCTTAGAAGTGGAGAACCCAACTTGAAGCTATTTTGCTATGTCCCATGAGCCTTAAGAGAGGCTTTGGCTGGTAATGACCATCGAAACATAGGCTCGCAGAAGTAGTCTATATGTTGAGTATCAGCAGCCCCTTGACATGAACTTTTTGGATTTCTGGCTTGCAGCTTAGGATTCGGGTTGATGGGGCCTTAGGGTTCTTTAGGACGTTAAACTTTAGAGTTTCGGCTCTCACCCTCGGGCTTAGGGTTTAGGGTTCAGGTTTTTCGGACGGAGTGTACTGAGACTTGCCAGTGCTTGGTCGTCTTGCTGGTAATGGTCGTGGTGTCGGTGCTGCCGGTCGTGGGTGTCATGGCTGTCATAGTCGTCGTGGTGCTCTTTTCACTCTTTGAGGATCTGCGTTGGAATAATTACTAGACACACGCATATACATATCGATGCATATATATATATATATATATATACATATATATATATATGTATAAAGAGAGTGAGAGGAGAAGAATACATGCACACATGTCTATTGAATTTCATGCGTGACAAGATGCATGAACTTGCCCTTGGTAAAGTCACTGTCGTTGCTGGCTGCCAGTGTTCCCAGACCATCCGCGATACCATTAGCAATGTTACAAAATGTGAACATCACGGTGTCGGTGACATAGATAACCCACCACGGCCACCAAGAGAATATTCCAAAAGACATGAACACACTGAGAAACGTTCCAGCTGCCATGAAAGCTGCGCGTCCGTCAACATCGGACGCCGAACATCCTGCAATGGCGGCATTGAGGCAGAATGCGCCAAGCGAAATCAAACCGAAAATCCATCCAGTTGTGACGGCTGTGATGTCGTACTGGCTCTGAGAAATCAATGTAGTTCCACCCTCAATCGCTGTGATGGTGAACGACCTTTCGAAGCTGTACGCGACAGCGAGCAAAATGAGGTGACGTCGCTGAGTGGCCTCCATGCCATCCAAACTGTTGCTTGCTGTTTCAGCACTGCTGCTTTCGATCGCAATTTCCCCATGGTGGCCTGATGGACGGCTTTGGGGAACCATCAGCACCATGACAAGCCAAACAAGCAACACAGCCCCCGTCTGGAACATGATTGGAGACGCCGCGCAGAGCCAGGGGCCTAATGCTTCGACCTTTGTACCCAGCTTCTCCTGGAAAAGTATCAGCGATATCGACGACATAGTCACCCCAGCGAACAAACCTAGGTTTCTGGCAGCTTGACTCGCAGCTTGTAGGCTTAAGACTTCGTTTTTGGGCGTCATTTCAAGCGCCAACCAACTTGCCACCAACTGTGCCATGCTCCCGAAATATCCTGACAGGAACCGTAGAGCAAGTAGACTGTTCCAAAGCAGCCTTGGCGAGTCCCGAAGAGGTGAACATACCGCCAGCACGAAGCCCAAAAGCGAGATAGCACTGAGGAATAAGCTCAGAGACACATACCGGCGTGTCGCGGCGAAGTTGGCGCCCGTCTGCACCTTCTCCGGGAGAAGATAGTGAAGAGTAAGGTTGGCTACCAGCCCTCCAACCTGCACTGAACTGACCATTAAGCCGGTAGAAGCGGCGCCATAGCCCAGAGCAGAGCCCAGAGGGATAGACACGGTAAGAATCGCAGTGCTGGTAACTGCAACCAGCCATCCACTGGCCACGAAGACGGCTTGCGATGCCCTGACGGCTACTTTGCCCGACCCTGACAGACAAGACCATGACCCAAAGATCTGGCCCAAGTCGAGCAGGCCGACAAGGAGAGCAAAGGTGAAGGCCAGGATCGAAAAGTCCACGGCGACAAGATCGAAGTGCCCGTACTTCCCAGCTAAGGACGTGGCCAAGCGACTTGCATGTTCATTAATGCTCAGAACAACCCACCGCCACCATGACTCTGGAGCTTCGAAGCTCCCATGTCTGGCAGACACATCTACCTGAAGGAGAGCGCACGACTCCCCCTGCAATGTTGCTGCAAAGATATCAGCAAACCATGGCGCTAGAGCCATGCTGCCTACGGCGATATGGACCGGAAAGGCATAAGGAGTTTCAGCCTTTGCTTGAGCCCAGGCGTAGCACAAAGGACCAGATTCACACCCAGGCCTCACTAAAACTCAGAAGCCTGCATTTCCAGGGACGTCCTTGAGTAGCAGCATTCCGGCTTGGTGAACCCATTGGCTGGCGAATACTGCTCTCAAATAGTTGACAAACTCCTCCACCCAACAGCTCCCCACAGAATTTGCGCCGACCCTAAACCCTTGCAAGAAACCCTGGCCCTAACTGCCGCAATATATACCATTAAACTTTCTGAACACATAATCAAGCACTGACCCTACATGTCAAAGCCAAACCACAAAGCAAAGACCCGATATTGCTTGTTAACCGAGGTCGATGATGCGCATTATGCTGGTCGTGACTGGCCGCATGTGCCCATGGCCCATGCTGCTTCCAGGCGGATGCGCGACATGCACGAAGAAAACGGCCGATAATGCTCATGATGCTAGCCACGGCTGGCCGCCGATGCTCACGATGCCTGCCATGGCGGCTTCTAAAGCAAGCGATCGATGATGCTCATGGTGCTGGTCCTGGCTGGCCACATATCCTCATGATCATGGTCGCATGGGCTGTGACACACTGAGAAGCACACGGTCGATGATGCTCACGATGCTGGCCTCTGGCCATGGCGAAAACCGCCAAAGCAAGCGGTCGATGATGGGCACGATGCTGGCCGTGACTGGCCAATACTGGCCAAGTATGCCCTGGCTGTTTTCTGCGGCTGCGCGAAATTGACGAGGCAAGCGGCCCATCATGCTCATGATGCTGGTCTCGGCTGGCCGCCATGCTCATGGTGTCTGCTGTGGCAAACTTCACAGCAAAGTGGACAATGATGCTCATGGTGATGGTCTTGGTTACGTACATGTGTTCATTGTTGCAACGCAGTGCAACGCCACATCGCCAATGATGCTCGTGATGCCAGCCCTAGCTGGCCGCGAATGTTCATGATGCTTGCCATAGTTGGGCAAACTCGAAAACACGTGGCTGCTCATGATGCTGGTTGGCCCTGTCCGGACGCTGCTGCCCGTGTTGCTGGTCCTGTCTGGCTGAGGATGCTGAGGATGCTTGCCTGGACTGCGCAAGCACCCATGATGCTCATGATGCCTGCTTGGGATGGTGACCGGTACTGAAGATATCTCGGAGCTGTAACCCCAACGCCTTTGCAGAAATCGAACCCCAAAACCTGAACCTCACAATGCAGATGCTAATGATGGTTATACTGAGTAATAAGAGTAGAAATGGCAATATTACTAAGGCCCTGCATACCTTCATTTCGCAAAGTCAGCCGAAGCTTCATGGAGCCCCTCGCCTCCAGCAAAAAGGTCGGGAGATGCTCGTCCTCTTCGCCGCCCTTTTTGGGCCTCGGCAGTGGCAGCGGCAGTAGTAGTAGTAGTAGTAGTAGTAGTAGTAGTACTAGTACTAGTAGTGGTAAGGTAATAGTAGTAGTAGTAGTCGTCGTCGTCGTCGTAGTAGTAGTAGCAGTGGTCACAGTCACAGTCACAATAACGCTCATAATTTTTACAATAATGACAGAACAAAAATATTGATAATAATCACGAACATGCACCTGAACATAATGACCATAGGAACAAGTGGCAGCAACAACAACGACAACGACGACGACAACAACAACAACTCCCTGTTGTAGCAACTGATGATAAGAACTTCGGAGCAAGCTTCAGGATTACGAAGGTTCAGGGTTTAGGGCTGAAGGACTATGGGTTGAGTAAGCTGTCGGGGCTGAACAGCATCACATTTCACATGCACTCCCCCGCTGCTTTCTCGAAGCCGGTGGTTTTACTTCAGACGCTCAGGCCCAAACCCTCCAACACTAGTTGGGTTCGGGGTTTAGGGCTGAGGGCTTATTGTTATAGGGTTTAGGGTACCCTAAAGCCCCAAACCCTACAACCAACCCGAGCCATTTAAGGACAGGCTTCCGAAAGTATCCCCTTAAGAATAAGCGTAGTGGGTACAACCGAACAAGGGCACCAGAAACCCCTACACACCCTTGTAAGACCCAATTAAACAAACACCACCGTAAAAGCGTGAACGCAATAATTGGGGTTAAGAGTCTTTTCGGTTTGGCTGTATCAGGGGTGTGAAAATTCGTCACAGTATAGAGCTGCATAAACGCGGTATGCTCCTGTTATTAGGATTTTGTATAGGTGTTGTTCTATGATTCATGAGAGCTTTGTACAGGTTTACCCCAGGCCCTAAACCCTCAAACCTCAAATCCTCCAATCCTAAACCTCCAAATGCCCAAACCTTGCGCCTTGACTTGCATCCCAAACAGACGAAGACCCATGCTTTCCGGGAGCACTGCTTGGGGCGTTCCTCCTCCGAGGAGGACGAGAGATCCATCTGAAGCACATTGATCAGGAGTTCTGTTTTGGGCTTCTAGAGCGTATCATAGGCTGCTGTGGAATGCTGGTGTCTGTGTTTCTGTGGAGCTGCAGGTGATAAACACCCCCGCCCCCTGCATCCCGGACACGTGAAACTCAAAGGCTCTTAAGCAAAGGTCGGGAGGTCGGCTTTGGGGGATAATGTAAGGGCCTCAATAATTAGAATAGGCTTTTGGGGCCAATTATACTATGCTTATAATTAATAAGGAGCCCCCCAAAATAGTATAGGTAATTATGAAGGCCCCTATATTAAGGCTTTGGGGCTGCTGGGAGGTCTTCAGGCGTTCGTGGGCTGCAGGTTTTGTGGCTTCGCGCTTTCAGGTTGAAGGTTCGTGGGCAAGACGATGACCACACAGAACCCAAAGAACTCAAAGGGCCGAAATGAAACACGCCCTCCTCGGCCTGGCTTAAGCTGTGTTCGGAAGTGGGATATCTATGCGTGCCTGTACATGTATGTGACTATCTACCTACATACCTAGCAACATGTAAATGCTTACATATCTGTAGACAGGGCTTGTCTTGGGGATGGGGGAGGCGGCTAATGCAAGAACTAGGGGTGGAGCTTGTGGTGTTTTGGGTTTTGCGGGTTAAAATAGAATAGAACAGGCTTTCGGGGTATTTTCCTAATATTATCTTGCTAGTAGATAGGGACACCATCCGGCTGCATGGCTCTGAATACTAATGGTGCCAAAATCACGAAAAACCCAAGGCCGGCTTGGCGGTTCGATGTTGGACGTCTATCGCTCAGGCTCCGATCTGAACCTAACGATCACCGGCAGAAGTAGTTCCACAAGCACCAATGGCCGTAAAAAAGCTTCAACCTTAAAGTTCAACCCAACCTTATTTCTGTTCAATTCAAACTGAAGTCGCTCTGGAATCCCTAAACCTAAGCCACTCCCTTAGCGCGAGACTCAACAAGGCAAGTTGGGTCATGGGGAACATAGAACTGCGCGAGGATCAATCACGAGAGAGCTGATGATGAAGATGGTGAGTTTCATTCGCGACACTTCAGCCGTCATGGCATCATCCGCTCTAAGAGGCCATCGCATACACAACTCCCGAAGACCAAAAATCTCTGGCAACCCTCAACTCACAAGAGGGGCTTAGGGTTTAGGGCGGTGGGGTTTAGGGGTTCCGGGTGCGAAGCTTTGGAAGGCCTGTCTGGAATCTTCCAGATTATCCTCACTCTCGTAGGGGTTCAGCGTCCTGAAGCTGATTCTCACACGCCCGGAATGCGTGGATCAAGGGCTAAGCTCACAGAACACCTGTTTTCGGATCCTTCTTATGTAAGGACAGTGGGATGACGGATTAGCCCCTGAGAACCCATAGCCTAAGGGCATGGGGCAGCCCGAAATCCTTGATCTGAGAAATTTGTCTGCTCTGATTTGGATAAGGCAGAACCCCTAAACCCTTACCCTAAACCCCGAGACCACAGGACACCCACGGCATTCCCACCTTCCCATCAAAAGTGGCGGAGATCCGGAGTTTAGACAAGTCGTTTTAAGGACTCTTTCTTCCCTCCCGCCCAGCTGAGTTAAGGACTCTTAGGGTTTGGGGTTTAGTTTAGGGTTTAGGGTTTAGGGTTTAGGGTTTAGGGTTTGGGGCTTAGTGGGTTCAGACTGCTACACACAAGTCGGGCTTTCAGATCATGGCAGAATAGCTCGATGTTGAGAGTACCCACCGATTTTTGCCTCGGGGTCTGCAGGTTCCTTTGACGGTTTAGGGTTTAGGGTTTAGGGTTTAGGGTTTAGGGGTTTAGGGTTTAGGGTTTAGGGTCCCAAAACCCCAAATCGTGGCTCAAGCAAACTGTACGGCGGATGAGGGCTGAGGCAGAGCCACTGCTACTGTCTTAGAGTTTCGCTTCGAAGCCCTGGCGAATCCTTGTAAGACTTTGGGGTTTAGGGTTTAGGGTTTAGGGTTTAGGGTTTAGGGTTTAGGGTTTAGGGTTTAGGGTTTAGGGTTTAGGGTTTAGGCTTTGAGGAGGCTTTAGGGTTTTACAGGTTTAGGGTTCAGGGCCTAGGCTTTCATTAGGTTTCAGAGTTTAGGGCGGCTCGGAGCTCCCTGGACGATCGGATCCGAGACATACAAGAAAATAAGTAAGGTAGCCTAACGATCCGAAATCCTGGAATTCAGGGTCTGCGCAAGAAACGTGTGTTTGTTATGGGCACGAGAATACACGGATTCAAGGCTCTGAACACCCCAAGCTCCTACATCATGGATACCATTGTGGAAACCCAAATCACGAAAAGCTGCCCAACCCCCGTGGTTTGGGTTTAGGGTTTAGGGTTTAGGAATATACGCTAAAACACTCTTCTGCCAGCCTCGTGCGATTGCTGACCAAGTCTCTGTACTCTCAAGATTAGAACCCCATACGGTAGTGTGTGCACCACACTGTTCTTGGGGAGCAAAACCCCTGAACCCAACTCCTTGAGGAATTCGGTCTCAGGGCTCACCCACTATGACCCGAGGCCACCGCAGAGACATAGACTGCGAGTTCTGCAAGCTCAGATCGTCACCGGTTCCTAGCAGACAGGATGCCAAATTGGGGGGGGAGGGGGGGTGGTTCAGGCAGGATTATGGTTGAACCTGGAAGGTGTCCCAAAGCACTTTGTTTAGGGCTTAGGGGTTATATAGGGCTTTGCGCTTTAGAGTTCAGAGTTTAGGCCTCAAAGTCTGGCTGTTCAGGTACTTGGGAGCTTGGACTCACAAGCTTTATTGCCCAAGCTTGGCCTCTGAACGAGAGCTAATTGACAGAACCCACTTGTCTAGGCAGGCTACTGAGTTCTTGGCACCATCAGGTGTTTAAGACCTGAGTAAATTTGTCATATTGTTCCCTGCAATTGTTTAACATATGTGACCTGAGTACTTCTGTCATGTTGTTCCCAACAATTCCTGATGGCCGCAAGCCTTCACATCCTTTTCTGAAGCAAATCTCTAGAGCTGCGCCTGCCCTCCTCGATTAGGGTGCACTAGAACCCCAGACCCTAATTACGGCTGAAGGGTTTAAGGGATGGCAACCCACTGTCAAGGTCACCTGGGCTCCTAGAAAAGGCGGCCTCTAATATAGAGGCCTGCAGCCCTAAACCCTAAACCCTAAACCCTAAACCCTAAACCCTAACCCCTAAACCCTAAACCCTAAACCCTAAACCCTAAACACTAAACGCTAACCCCCAAACCGTTTGGGGTTGAAAGTACCAGTGCCAGGGCGCACCTGCGAAGGGCCGTGGGGTATAATATACTGGTAAAACAAACTTTCAAGCTTCTAAAGTATATAATGTAGGGGCCTGAATAATTCGAAGAGGGTTTTGGGGTATGTTGTCAAAAGTAACGGTGATTAGTAATGGCCGATATATTATTATCCGACATCTGACCCGTTAAAGCCATAGATAAGCCGAAATCTCAACCCATGAAGTTGCAGGACAGTAGCACGTATCTTGACCAATGTACACCAGAGAAAGCGTGTATCAGACGACACTATAGCCCTATGGAAGGAGCCCCGAAGAACGTGACCCTTTTTTTGCCACAGGCCTCGTTGCAGCAGCCCGGTCTAGCCAAAAACACACTCCCGTGACCTAAACACTAAACCGTGCGTGTGCCTTCCAGGTTTTGCGATTGCGAAGCAGACTTTGAGCCCAGGCGATCGCTCCTGGGATACTCAAGACAAGTTACCACCGTTCGGAGTGTAGGTATAAGTGGTTCTACCAAATCTTCATAGACTTCTCTAGTGTAAGGCTTTAGGGCTTCCGGCTTTAATGGCCCGGGTCGAAGAACATTAGTCTTAGGTTTGTCTTTCGGGGGTTTATGTGCTGCAGGTTGAGTCCAGGGCTCTACCGTTTATGGGGTTTTATGGAAATGAGGGCTTCTGGTTTACCTGAGGGCTCTAGGGCCTTGTAAGCCTTACAATTTAGTAGGGGTAGGGTTTACTGCAACATTCAGGGCTTTAAGGTTGTAGGCCTTAGGATTTGGTAGGCTTCAGGCTGTACTGCCTTAGGGTTTCAGGGGTGCACAGGTATGAGCTTGTTGAGTACATGTTGCGTTGATGCCCCAATAGTATGCGCTCTAGGTCGGCATCGCTCCGTCGTTGCAAGCCATCCCGGAAAAAGGAGCCACCGCATTCTTCATCGCGTGTTGAAGGTTTAGGATTCGTCAGGGGTTTCAGGACATTCATGAACACGGAGACCAAGACTACATTATTCAACTAAACTGATTGACTGCACAGCCCAGCGACACACGACTGCTGAGGCCCAGCCGTCAACCCCTACACCCTCAATCCGAGAAGCCCCAACCCTAAACCCTAAACCCAAACCCCCAAACCGGAAATTAGTACCCCCAAAGAACTTCAACCTTAAAGCGAAGCCCTAAACCCTCAAAGCATAAACCCCAAATCCTAAATGATACTGAGCCAAGCCCCAAACCCTAAACCCTTAATCGCACACCCTAAACCCTATACCCTAAACTCTAAGCCCATATTCCTCAGCCCCAATTCCCAACTTTTAAACACTAAACCCAAAATCCCAAACCCCTGAACTTCAAACTTCAAAAAGTTTTCCAACAGCTCTCGACCGAGGCCCAAGCCCGGAACCGCCGGTATCCTGCCGGGCGGAATGTAGAGTTCCAGGCTCCAGGACCAAACTTGAAACTGTATTGAAGGCTCTTTCTAAGGGATCTATGAAGGGCTTGGTTCAGGGATCTATAGGGGTTCGATTTTTGGGGGGTTTAAGGCTTTCAGGGTTTTGGGGTTTCGGGCTTTGGGCTTCAGGTTTTTAAGTGTCGGGGGCTTTAGATTTTGGGGCGTAGGGGAATCCGACGACATACTTCACACGATTGCATAGACCGAATGTCCCATCACCAAGCCTCACCCTCCCGCAGAGATAGAATCGGGTGTTTAAGGGCCGAGGGCTTTTGGCTTTTCGGCTCTCACTCTCGGACATGCCAGGCGAGGGGTTAGGGTTAAGTTTAGGGCTTCGTGTCCCTAGTGCCCCACGTGCGAGGGCAAAGCTAGGAACTATAGCTGAGATAACACAAAGGGTCCACCGTGTTGTGAATGAACTTCGCAAAACCAAGGTCAATGGCTAAACCCCCTTTTTCCGGAAGATCGGAAGCTGGATCACCTTTCCGATTCAAAAGCAGCCATGTGTCCTTGGAGCCAGGCCTCTCGCTACGCGACTTGCTCCTGAGCATACAAAGCGAGAATGGGGCCCGGATGCACGCCTGCATTCGGAATACTACGGGAGTCTCGGAGAAAGGACGTGTTAGGCGCTTCGCAGGCTTCAGATGTATCTACCGGATGAGCAAATAGTGCCAATAAGTATTCCGACCCCTATATTGATCTTCCTATTTAGAAGCTCGGCTAGCTGTCTCTGCGGTAGTTTGCTGCCCTTGTCCGTAGTTCTGATTCTCCAAAACCCTAGACCCTGATAGAGAGTCCCTGAACCCGAAAACCCACCTTAAACCCTCCCGAAGTTTCAACCCAACTCTTCGTAGAAGAAAACTTTTCAAAGTCCTGACAAGACAACACCCGGAAACCCAAAATGCTTGAAAGCTCCCTAAACCCTAAACCCCAAACCCCTGAATCCTATAAACCTTAAACCCACATGCCGTCGCCAAGCTGCTGCGAAGATTGAACTTTTTCTCTTGCCTGGCGATCAGCTGTTCGCTGTTGGGCCAGACCAAACTCCTGACAAGAGCGTCCAGGTTCAGGGTTTAAGGCTTAAGGGTTAGGGGTTTAGGGTTTAGGCATGGGTCTCATATGCTTTATCATCACAATGGGGCTTTGAGGGTATATTGTAGTACACAATCTTGAGGGAGCTATACGGACATTCTATTCGTACTTAGTCGTACTTCTTCCGAACTCTGCATGGGGATCTTGGGCAGCTCTACGGTATAGGGTTTGGCTGAAGGATACACCCGAGAACGAGATAGCGGATTCGTTATCGGGCCTGTGCCTTTGGCGCCAAGTTGTCGTCCTCTGGCTTGAAGTCAAGGGCCCCTAGGGCCCGCGACTGAAACCCTTCAGACCAGCCTTCAACCAAACTACGAGAAATCTCGAAACATGGGGAGAACAACCTGCATGCCTCAGAACTGAAGAACTAAATCCACGGCTCAGAGACCGTTAAACCCTAAACGGAGACTTGCACAATTAACACCCCCCAAGAGTTCAAGTTACTCTGTGGGTTGGGATTTTTGGGATTTGAGGGCGCTCATATTACATTTGGACTACACTTCTGACCAAAGCCAGATACCAATTAGTCAGCAATCCCGAAACCCTAAACCCTGCGTCCCCCTAAATCCTGAACCTTCAACCCAAAAACCTGAGCCCTAGACCCTAACCCCCAAGCCCTAAACCTATTTAATGCCCTAAACCCCAAGCCCTAAACTCTAACTGAGCTCTGAGATGATTCCGAGGGCCCGACACCCTTGGCGACCCGAGGGAGCGAGACAGGATGCCTTGTCGAGCTTTGCGGGTATAATGTAGTATATTAGAGTAGAATGTAACATAGGAGAACTATAGTATAGTATAGCATAGTATAGTATAGTATAGTATAGTATAGTATGGTATGGTATGGTATGGTATAGTGAAGTATAGTCTATTAGAGTACAGTGTAACATAGTATAGTATAGTACAGTGTAGTGTAGTGTGGTATGGTATAGTGAAGTATAGTATAGTAGCGCAGCTGCAGGATGTTTGTAGGAAGAGCCTGTTTAGGCTTCGTCTTCGCCTCATGGTCACCGTTCAAGAAAACCCGGGAATGGCTTCTCCGTAGTGGCTTGAGCTCGGCATGCCATCCCCTTATGACGACTCGCTCTCTGCTATCGGGTGTCTTGCATGACCTTCTGACTCTGTATGCGGCAAGAACTCCGAACCAAACTAAAACACTGCAAAACCCAACACCTTGAGACAGATACCCAGAGACTCAAAAACCAGCTAACTAAGCAATATGATCCAACGAGAACAGATGGGGGCATTCATAATTGGAATATGGTCTTCTTTGGAAGGGGGTCCATTAAAATATACTATACCTCTAGAAGGACTATAATGGGACAGTGGTACGAATTTTTTCAAACCCTGAAAACTAAGTCAAGTCTATTGCTCTATCAAGGGGATTCGGCGACTCTAGGCACAGGGCGGCGTTACAGAAGACTTTAATCTGAAAGTCTCATTACCCATTGCATAACACCACAAAACTCTTTCAAGCCGGATTATAAGCCCCAAGCATCCCTGATTGAGTGCTTGTTGGAGCTGCTGAGCCCTATAAGCCCCAAGCCCTAAACCCGATGTAATGCGCACCAGGGCAACAGAAATTCTGGGGCTCCGGGCGACTCGCCATACTTGTTCTCGAATCGCTCGAGACCTGGTAGCTGGTTCTGGCTGGGCTCTGGGTTTTAGGGTTCTCGGATTTTCTTGGTGTTTCATCGTTTTGGGTTTTGGGTTTTAGTGTTTTGGGTTTTGGGCGTATCTCCACAAGCAAGGCTTTAGGGCTTAGAGCTTTGGGATATTATGTCTTCGAGGTTTCAGGATCTTAGGAGTTTGGGTTTTTAGCGTCTAGGGTTTCAGGGTATTGGTTTTACTTGAAGACTTTAATAGGCACAATAAGGGTGTATACTATGGTCAAGGATTCAGACCTCCAGCGTAGGGAATTTGGGCTGTCTTGGGAAGAACAGGATGCCCAGTGACAATAGTTATGATTCGCAATCTTGAGTTTCGGTGAAGATGGGAAGAACCGGAATTCCAATTCCAAAACCATCAACCCAGATATCGAAAGCCTGAGAGGCCCCACTTCTAGACCCTGAAGCCTAAAAGCCCTGCACCATGTCATCTTCTCATGCAGCCACTCCTCACATAATTCAAGACTTCCATTGGGCCGGCCCAAGGGCAGGAACACCATGCACAACTACGATGGAACCTGACTACAAACCCCTGGCCCGATAACCCTGGGTCCCTTTTGTTGGACTCGGAGTTTTTTCGGTATGACAGCATCTTAATAGCAAAGCCCACTGCAAAGCCCACTGATACGAGGTCGGCAGTCGATGAGTGTTGGTCGAGATATCCCTTCTGCGCCGTTACCATCAGGTTAAAGCTAACCCTATAACCCGAAGCCCTGAAATTCTCAACCCTAACGATCCCATAACTATAAAAGCTTCACCACAAACTACGACACCTTTAAACCACTGAACACTCCAAAGACCCCAAAACATCTAAAACACCAAAGCCTTAAAGCCCTAACAACCAGAAAAAGCCTGTCTGATTGATGTCGCAAAGGCCTCGTGGCTTGACCCCCAGCATACGATAGTACCTGTCGCATGGGTAAGAGTCAGAATCATGGTCGTTTGGGGGTTAAGGGTCTAGATTTAGGGTTTGGGTTTAGGGGTTTAAGGTTTCGACTCACACACTCGCACGATGCTGGCATGGCAAGAGAAGGTTTAAGGTTTAGGGCTTGGGGTTTGGGATTTAGGCGAGAATTACACTACTGCTGCGGCCATGCATGACTCAGGGTTTAAGTTGTTTGTGTGTTAGGGTCTGAGGCTTTCAGTGGACATTCGGATTTCGGAATTTGGGGTTTGAGGGTTCTGGGTTTGTAAAGTTTCAGGGTTTAGGGTCAAGTAGGTCGTAGCGGAAATCACGCTAAGCCCCCTGCAGCAATCCATCTAAAATCCCAATCAAGACAAATTTGGCGCTTCGTCGGAGGGCTTGTAAGAGGGGTTCTCATCAATCGTCCCACCAACAGGGGCCCAACAAAATAAATAAGCGATATTCCTACTTCGTTGAGGTTAACCATAATCGGATTCACACAAGGATCCCTTACTCTGGATGTTTTTTCTTATGTAGCTTTGTAATGCCAAATCCTTAGAGCGAATGGAAACGTACACTGATGCCAACATCAATTTGTGATCCGGTTTCAGGGAATCAACCGTAGGGGGTTACTACGGTTTAGGGTTTAGGGTTTAGGGTTTAGGGTTTGGACAACAGCACCTACAGTTTCTTCGGGACTTCAGCATGGCGTACTTTGACTCGGAGATTGCCTCACTGCTTAGACCCCTAAACCGTAAACCCCTAAACCCTAACCGCTTAAATTGGAGCGAGTATTTTTATTGTCTATTTTTATGGTTTTTTTGTTTATTTTTCTGGTGTCACTTCTGTTTTCTTTGGTTTTTGGACCCTAGCCTGGTGGCCGTGGCCGTTCGCCACCTCCG